CAATCAAAAATAAGCAATTATTTTGCAACTAAATAGCATTCTTCCATATTATTTTAGTCATATTTCAAGTATTTTAGTAATGGAACTGGACCTGGTAATTTCAGCTGTTTGCCTTTTGTTAGTATAACCAGAATAATATTCGTTGAAAGGATTTGGGAAATACAGTAACCCACATCCATGAAGTAGTATAATTTTCCTCTTTAATGATATAGTGTTCAAAAGTGTGAACTTTAAGCAAGGCTGGGTGGAGGATAGATTTCTCCTTAAATCATTTAAATATAATAGAGATTTCTAATATTTAACTTAAAATGCTTTTAGAGAGTAGCTCTTTACTAATGTTTTCCGTTGATCAACATGTTGCTTTTAAAAGCATTCTATCTGTGGAGTTATTTTTCCGTCTCTCTTTTATCCCTTTACCCTCCATCATATATATATTACCTTGCCTAACAATCAATTGATTCACTCTTTCACAGTGGAAATATGGTAGTGGTCTAGAAGAAGACTGGTTAATCAGATATAACTCACCCAGTGGGACACTTTAGCGACAGTAATATGTGTAAAACATATCTGAGTTTATTGTGGATGCAGCTGAGTCACAGAAACGTATATCTCTGACTACACTACTATATCACACTGTCACAGCAAATTTAAAAACTCTTAGAAGTACATACTTTCAGATTGCTTGGGATGGCAGTGTCTTTTTTTAGTATTAGTATGTCTTTAATTAGGAAGAAGACTTTATCACTGATAATACTTTGATTCTTCACACATTAAAGCCAACACAGAACCTTTTTAAATAAAAAAAAAAGGCATTGTACAATAAAATAAACCTGAACCAACAGCTAGCAGATCCTTGAATGTGTTCCAGCATCATAAATTATGACGTGATTTAAAAGACTGTATATCAAACCCATATAAATATCCTTACCTAGCAGTCTCTTTCTAATGCTAAAAGCTTTGTAACAGCTAAAGCTTCCAAGTAATTACTTCTAAGCTAGATTCTGGTCTCAGCAAGACTTTTAAATCCTAACTGAGTAGCTCCTGTCATAAACTTAAAGTCTTCTCTGAAGAAATTATTTCAACTTAAAAAAAAAAAAAAAAAAGATACTACTATAAATATATTTGGGTGGTGTTGGAAATACAGCTTTAAATAAATGACATGATTCCTCTCTTTATGTGCTTCCCTTTTAGAAAGAAAAACCCGTAACATTGTTTTCAAAACCTTTCACAAGTGTCACTTACGGAGTAACCATTCTGAATATTATATATTCTTTTTGTAATTTTCAAAATCTACAGTAAGATAATGATATCTATAATTAATTTTTTTAAATAGGAAACTGAATGAAAAAATGAAAATTTTCACCCTTCCAACACTCTCATTTCAGTATTATCAGAATCCAAACTACATTCTCTTTCCCCTTTTCCAAAACTGTATTTGACTCTTAAATCTGTAAAACAAATACAGTGACTCTGTTTTGTTGTGTATTAGCATGGATGCTAAATCATCCCAGGAAAATAGGACAAAGGACAGCAATGACACCATTACTGATCAACAACAAAACAGAAGCCAAGTTTAACAAATATGAGCATTTGTTAGTATAGGTGTAGCATGCAGACTTAAGAATCGTAATACCTAACTGCAGAAGGATAATGGTTCAGAATAGTATCTCCTTGAAGCACACTTTTAAAGAAACAAAAAAGGACAAAATAGTATCCTTGGAAACACCAGGTGTTTCAAGAAGTTTTAGATTTAGTGGTATTACACTTGTATTAAAATAATTTATTACTTTTCACATAATTTTTCAACAAAAAACCCTATGTTCAAATATATAAAAACTTCAAAATCAATATATTTTTAAATGCCAGAATTTTACATATCACTTTAATTTGTCAGGCAGAACTCCCAATTTGAATAGATATATGTATATGCAAAGTAATGAGAATGATGATAGAAAAGATATCTAGTGAATAAATATAAGAGAACTGTGGAGTAAATAAAATGGCAGAAAGAAACATAATTCCCTAAGCTTCGTCTGTTGATTTCTCCTGTCATTTTAGATGAAATGGTTAATACAGTAATGGATTTACATAATAAATATACAAAATCAGTTAAGAAAATGTCACTTCATATTTCCAAAAACCAAGAGCCACATTGTAATAAGAAAAACACTAACCAGACAGTCTATTCTTCTAGATTACTGAAGGTACCAGGTGACTGAAGGCATAGGCCTTCTGGTCTTACACCCTACAATTTAGTCACATTTGCAATAATCTCCATGAAATATACAGCCTGTCATGTTTTATTGCTTAATTATCAACTTGTCAAAAATCTACACTATATAAATGCATTTTTAGGTTTGTTTTTTTCCCCACATGCTCACCTACTTTTTATTGGGATAATGAGCTGAGGAATGACAGGAAGAATCTTGTTTCCACCATGTTCCAGCATGTCATGGATTCCTTGACGAGCAAAAAACTCATATGGAAATGTCATTTCACAAAGCCCATCAAAAAACAAAGGCAGGTAGTAATGATAGTCCAGCTTTTCAATCTCTATCTGAAAATACAAAATAAATAAACAAATAAATGCAATTTTTCAATAATAATACAATAGGATTTGGCCAACAGATAACTCATGCCATCTACATGGGTATGTTTAGCAAATAATTTTATTTTTTATCACTGCAGAATATCATTAAGTCTCAAATATGGTTTATGGCCAAATATCAAAATCCAGAAATATTAGACCTAAAGAACAGAATTAAGATGAATATGCTCATATATATTTTCGCTTTTTGATGTCAGTAACAGATTCTGATATTCTTGATTGAACACTTTTCTTTGTAAGTTACCCATGGGAATCAAATCAGTCATTTTAAGAATAATGTTCTGTTTATTTCAGAAAAATCTGATCTTTACATCTTCACTTGGACACTCAAAAGAATCAATAAGAGAAAGAATCCTGTAACCAAAAAATATGCAGCATGGCACAAATATTTGTACAGAATTCCCAACTTTCTAGAATTTTGACCTAATTTTATTTCCAATTAATTTTAGGAGCAGTATGCTAAAGAAATTTCATGGGTCTCTATTGTGAAAAAAAGGCAGAGAAATTTGGTACCTATTTCTAATAGGAATCTCCCTCCCATTCTAAAATACAAAGTGCACTACTTTTCCAAAGTTAGAGACTTTGTAAGGGATTTTGCACTCTATCCTAGTTTTTCTCCTTTTTCCTTCTTTTACCCATCAGCACTCTGATGCTACATATACCCAGGACAGACAGAGAGAACCAGAAGTTGTTTGCTTTCAGCCTGTCAAAGCTCTGAATACAGCTAAGAAGTAACTCAACAGCAAAGCACTTTCTCTGAACAGAGTATGATCCTCAAAATCACTTGAAGATCAATTAATCTCTTTAGGCATCCACTTCCATCTTTAAAACACTACTTAGCTGCTACCCTAGTTTTTCAGCAAGCTTATATTTTGGAATTGGATAGATGCTTCCACCTTCACACCTAATAAGCTTTGTCACACAGACCAAGCTGAAGCTCCAAATATCCTAAAAAAATTTGTCAGGTTAAGCAAACAAATATCCAGCCCTTGATTTGGGGCCAATAATCACATTCTCACTTGAATTGTTGAAGAATACTCTGAAATAAAGAAGCCAAGAACTGAACTTGGGTTTTACACTTCTTGGGTAAATCCCATAGTCACCAAGCAGCAGACATACATCCTCTGTTTCCAACCATGATTCATTTTTCCTCCCTTCTTGACTCCGAGTAGATCTGAATCCTCTTCTTGTGCATCTCAGCACTGACTTGACCGCTTCAATCTTTGATGTTGAAACTGATCCATCCACAATAAATGAAGATTAATTGGAACAGACACTTGAAAATAAGTCTTTTACATTTGCTGTGAGCATCTCACCATTGGCAGACGTAGCACCAATTACATACTTACATAGTCTCACGTACACAGATTGTTATAGGAGACTAAAAAGAACAATTGCATCATGGTTATTCACCTGTGTGAATGAAATCAAGTCCCAGTAATGAACCATGAGGAAGAAGGAATAAATGAAACCTACATTTCTTGTTTTCACAGCATCAAATATGATGGCTTATCTGTAATTTTTGTTCACTGGCTTCTTGTTTCACAGGGGGAAATGCCTTTATCAGATGCCTTTAGGGTTCATATCCCAGGGTCAGTTTGTAAGAAAGTTCAAAAATAACTATGCCAAGCAACCACATATGAAGATCTTTACAAAACAAAAATCAAAAGATATTTAAATTCCTAAAGTGATGGGGTTTGTATTTCTTCAGGACTTTCAGCTTGCTACAGACAATACTTGTGAGATGGTAAAAGAAGTCTGCCCACAAAGTCACAAAGAACAGAAGACAGCAATATAGCAACTACAAACTTCAGGTGACAAGTGTAAGTCAGAGGTCAAATTGTTCATTACAGCAAGAAACCTGCATGAGGTAAGAAGAGGCTAGGTGGCTAAAAAATCATTGACAAAAAAGCATGACCAAGAAGAAACAATTTTTTCCTGTTGTCTGTCAATAGGACAGTAAGACATCCTTTGATATTTTTCTTTTTAAATTTTAATTTGTAGTTTATAATATTATTAGATTTCATTTTTTGTTTTTTGAATGTTCTAGTTTCATAAAATCAAAACCAAAACCTACAACAGCTAGTTGTGTCTGGGAAAGCTTTAGGTGTGAAAAAGAGAGAAACAATTAGTATTTTTTTTTTTTTTTTTTTTGTGTTTCACAAGGAAAAACATCTTTATTAGATTATGTCTTTTTTTCTTGTTTTTTAGAATTCATTCCATACATGGATTTTTGACAACTCTTTCAAAATTACCAACTATTTCTAGGGAAAAATATCTTTGATGGATGTACATCCATGTTTAGATTACTGAATCAAGATATGCAACTATTTTGCTCAAAATATATATAGTAGAATCTTTCATTTGTTTTCTCTCACTCTTCACTAATATCTCACAGAATCACAGAATCATCTAGGTTGGAAAGGACCTTGAAAATCATCTAATCCAACTGTTCGCCTAGCACTGACAGATTCTAACTTAAGCGCTAAATTGACCCGACTCTTAAACCCCTCCAGGGATGGGGACTCCACCACCTCCCTGGGCAGCCCATTCCAACGCCCAACAACCCCTTCTGGAAAGAAATGCTTCCTAATATCCAGTCTAAACCTTCCCTGGTGCAACTTGAGGCCATTCCCTCTTGTCCTGTTGCTTACTACTTGGTTAAAGAGACTCATCCCCAGCTCTCTGCAACCTCCTTTCAGGGAGCTGTAGAGGGCGATGAGGTCTCCCCTCAGCCTCCTCTTCTCCAGACTAAACACCCCCAGTTCCCTCAGCCACTCCCTGTACGAACTGTGCTCCAGAGCCTGCACCAGCTTCATTGCTCTTCTCTGGACACGCTCGAGTCATTCAATGAAATTAATCAATTTCCTCTAACTATCTACCAGTTATCCGTCTTCTCCAAGATGTGATATTTCTGATACTCTGAGCAATTTTTCTCAGCTGTTCTTTGCCCTTGAAATACACTTTTTCTGTTTCGAACATAAAGCTTGTGTGTTCAAAAGATTGTCAATGTTTTTCAGTGATAATAAGTGGTCAATAAAAGATATTAGCTTTATATATCAACTCCGTCTTATACATTACATTTACATAGGAATTATATATATTAACTTTAAGGCAAATATGATTTCTAGGTTTAAAAACAAATCTGATTTTTACACACAACACAAAAGCTTTATTATGAAAAAAAATCTCTACAAAATATAGGTATGACAAACTGTAGATCATAAAGCATATGTGTACTCCTCACTTCTTCATTAGTTCCAAAGCCATAAGTGGTTGGCAACTGGCATGGCTTTGAAAAGGATACTGATTTCTAATTCATTTCTTGAAGTGTCAGCTGTCCAAGCATACAGCCAATTTTTACTTAGTATTTTGTGCTCTATAATAACTCCCACAATATGGAAGCCAGAAATATTTTGCCTTACGTTCTATGGTGTGAAACACTTTCCTTCTGTGTTTACTATTTAGCTTTTAAAAGTGGCTATTATACAGCTGTTCAGAGAAAAATGTGTTTTTTCTCTTTACACCCACAAAATTATTTTGTTTTTCACATCCCCCACAAAAAAATGCTGATTAAAGCCCAAATTCTTGGCAAAACTTGTCCACATCTGACAATAATGCTTCAACTACGCATTTTAAGAAGAAATCTCACAATAATCATTATGAACTACTGTACTAGTGATCTGTAAGTTGTGAGAACCCAGCCTCTGAATTTTCACTAAATAAGGCAACTCATAAAAATTGATATATTATTATAAAATATGATCACACAGCAAAACCATCCATATTACAATCAGTAAAATCTTCTGGTTCATGAAACTTCCATGTTACTTATGTATACTATAAGGTCCTTGGGTGAAAAAGAAATAATATACAGTTTATAACTGTTATTTTATCAATATGTATAACCAACGCACAAGATGGGAAGAAACCAATGGCAGTATCACAGCTAATTTATTCAGCAGAAAATCTGTTCCTGTGAAGCAGCTCATAGTGAGAGGCAAGTCTGCTGAGATAATTAAAACCCAGATACAAAGAGTGAATAATAAAAATAATCGTGCCTGTTAGATGAAGAAAGCAAGCTTTTTGAGAGAATTTAAGGTACAGAAGTTTGACAGTAAGAATGTCATTGGCCTGTCTTAAATAATCATATTTAATCTGGTAATCTATAAAGCAAAGCTGAGTTTTAGAAGGTAGTGTTTAAGATACATAAACAACTTAATTCTCCATCTCATTTCATGCAACTAATTACATAATACTATATGTCTTTGATATGATTATCCAAAAATTGGATTTGACCTCCTAGAAACATTCTATTAAACTGTTTATGTACTCATTTAACATCTTTTTCTAAGGCATTAAAATTAGGTATAGTAAAAGAAACTCTGGAATCGTTGGTTTGATAAAGACAAACAGGAGTTTTTGTAAGGATTGTAAAGCTTTTGTAAGGATTATTTGGTAAAATAATAGTTGCTTTCAAGATTTGTTTTCTATTCTCTACCAGCCATTTCATCTCTGTTTTCTAGGTTAATAGAAAGAGAAAAGCAGAAACATTCTTGAATAGTCTCAGTTCTGAACTTCCTTTCTGATTTTTCTTCCAAGATTTCTTTCAACCTTCTTCATAGGTTTCTTCTTTTCTTCCAATATCCTCTACCTATAGTCAAGATGAAGCCCATGCATTTCAAAGATTTTTTGTTTCTTGCTTTTGGTATATTTATCTCTTAATTCATAATGGGATGTTAGTTTTAATCTTCACTATGGAGCAGGTAATGCTCATTAGTATTTTCTAGACTGGAGTTTTTAACATGGTAACTTTGCCTATAGCACTTATGTTTCTAAAGCTCAATTCTGCTGTTGCATATAGTCCCTACAAGTTTTCCAGCAAGAAATTATTGTATTTAGTCTGTTGTATTTCACCTTTCAATAGGTACTACAAAGGCTCATATGACAAAGATTCTCTAATGAAAGATTCCTAGTCTAAGTTATTACTTGTGTCCTATTAAAAAAAAAAAAAAAAAAAAAAAAAAAAAAGAGGGAAGTTGTACCTATATTTTGCATCCTGCAATGAAATGATAAAATACTTATCTTAAGACGAGTGGAAGATTATCAAACTTGAAGAGAAACAGATAATGACGAGGGAGAAACTAGATAAACACCCCAACAGAAATCTTTTAATTCAGAGAGTTAGAATCTTTTTAACATATTGTGTAGACATTTAACTTCCCACAAGTTAAATAACAAAAGAAAACACTTGCCTCCCATAGATAAATCAGAAGAAGCAATAATAAATATTTTTGGTGTGTTATTCTACTGGCTATCTGAATTCAGCTCTGAAATATTACTTAATGTAAAAAAACCCCAAAACAACAAAAAACCCCAATCCAGAAATGTTACATAGATAATAATTTTGAATTTATTGCATTTCCTTTTATTATGTTAGTTAGAAGAGTAATGCTGTCATCAATAATAATTGAGAAAAGCTAGGGAGAGCTATTGTCCTCTTATATTATATATAGGAAGATATAATTCAATTTTCTGTAGTATTCTCTATATCTTAATGTCCTATTGCTCTTTTAAATGAAGTTGGAACACAGTAAATTAAGTCTGAGAACACTGAAGAGGAGCATGATATGAAAAGGTTCACAACTATGATGCGCACCTTCAAGTAAATGCAGTTCTAAACTCTTTTCCCATTCTCATTTTAGGGGCATATAATTGATAATTAATTTCTAGCTATTATTCCTATCTGCCAAATGAGGTTTCTTCTATATATAGCTCCAAAACAAAGCGATACAACTCTTTATCCCTGCAGTCTAATTGCCTCGTTTGGGCCTCTCCCTCATTTTTCCACCACTTTCTCTCAGCTGACACTGCTGCCTTATCCATGTGGATTATTTTCAAATTATGGGGAAATATTAATAATAAAATGCATCCACTTACTTTTGGTGCATGCTTGATACATATGAATGAGAAGCATGAATGAAACTTTGAAATGGTTTGATCAAAATTATTTGGCAATACAGCAAAACCAGTCTGTTCATAATCTACTGTAAGAAACAATGGCTAGAACTGGATATGATCAAGACCTCTGTAACGTTACTGAAAATCAAATACGCAAATTTATGTCATCACAGCAGACATACTCCACAGATATTATTTGGAGATCAATTGCTAATAGCAATGGTGATGGTCCTGCATATGATAACCAAAACGTTTCCTTTTCAGTTGCCACACCTGAAGGTGACAATCTAATCTTAGTATGGTTACTGAGGTGAGGAAAATTAATAGTCAACAAGAAGGTCAAATTATTCCTTAAGTAACTAGAGGATCAATGATTGGATGAAAAATGGGAGAAGGAAGATATAAATTTGTGTAAATCCCTCCCCAGCTAGAGGGAGGGTAAAAAAACCATCCTGAAATCACTTCCTATAAATGCAACCTAATTACTTAAGAAATGGACTCTAAGGTACATGTGTGAATCACTAACAGTCTGTGAGCTGTGTCATCCAGAAGATAATCTAGGGTGTTTCTGAGGGTGGAGGGGATTCTATCCTTGCATTTTCATGAATCTTTTTAATTGTACTGCCTGGATTTAAATTTTATAAATATACACTTTGCTGATAATACAGATCAGGCAGGTCTTGCCAATATAGAGGAAGGCCGACATATCATGCAGGAAAAACCAGGATGACAAAACCCCCCTTGATTATGAGGTACAGGCCTTATAGTATGACATGCAATGTTAAAGTGATGAACTAATAGCAAGGATTTCTCCACAGTATAGGAGTTAATCAGTGTGATATAGTAAGACAGGAAAAAGTGTTCAGCAGATTAATTAATCATTATGAGCCACCAATATGATACAGATATGAAAAGGGCAACTATTATTTAAAATACATGAGATATTTCTAGCATAGATGGGAAAGCATTAATGCTACTACACAAGGCAATTGTGAGATCTCACCCATTATTATAATAATTTTTCCTTAATATAAAATATCCAGACTTTATCTCCATTAATTCTTCTTTGGAAATAACATCAACAAACTGATATAAAGGAATACCCCAAACTAAAAATAGTAAAGGAAATCAAGTGTTAACTTGTTCTTATTTATGTGGATTCTGATCACATTAGATTATCTGACTCAACTGATTTCTAAAAAAGCATGTAAAATATACTGTTCTTCTAATACAGCAAATAGCTGTAGACTATGCTTAAAGGATTGCTTTCTTTTAATTGATGGGAAGCATTATAAATAGAAGATGAATGCACCCTGAGAAAAGTGCTCTGTAAACATGACTCTGACAAATGTGGAATGTACTTGAGAATTGTTTGTGTGAAGCAAATAATGGACCACACGATAACCTCAGTGGCAGACAAAAGTATCTCCACCACTTCAGAATGTATGCTTATCTCATTACATTCTTCTTGCTGCTCAAAGCCTTGTTAGACACACCCAATTGTTCCATTTTTTTC